GAGGGACCGGCCGCGAGCGGCGGCTGCGCGGCGGCTGCGCGGGAAGGCGGCCGCTCCTGAGGGCGCGGGCGGGAGGCGGCGGCTCCGGCGGGGATCGCAGCGAGCGGTGAGCGACAGCCCGGGACACTCGGGGCACACCGGCAATCACAGAATCRGTGAGGGTGGAAAAGACATTCGAAACCATCCAGKGCAACCTGTGACCCTACRCTACYGTGTCAGCCAGACCTTGGCACYGAGTGTAACGTCCAGTCTTYCCCTTAACACCTCCAGGCACGGTGACTCCACCCTGGCAGCCYGTTCCAATGTTTAATCACCTCATCAGGAAATTCTTTCTAATGTTCACGGAGGGACACAAGGAACTACTGTCCAAACTGTTTTGTTACGCATGTTGTTATACGCATTGTTAGGTGTTATTATATGTGCTGTTGCTGTAATCCAAACAACAAATTGCTGCCGCCGGGCACTACGGCACAACTCTTATATAGGAAGTTAGGGATTTCACTGAGTTCAAGCTGTCACTGTTGTTTTTCCAGGCTTTGGCAATCTCCTGGAAAGCTACCCCAGCCTTGGAGATGCTGATAGACACCACCCTGAGATCTTAAAAATGTCCATTTAGTCCATCAGAGTGTTCAGTGACAGCAAATAACTGAAGGTGAGTAGCAGTTCTGTCAATGACTTCAAAAGCCATGAACCTGCATTCCACTAAATGAGATCGTTGAATCCCACATGCTTTATTTACCATAAACTACTTATTTTGTTCATTATGGAATGCCACAGTCTTCCTAAAAAAAAAGCTTTTGCTTCTTGGGAATACCGTTTTCAGTTTGCCTGCATGAAGCAATGGATCTCTCAGAAATCAAGCTGTCCACAGGTTTTGTAGAACCTCAGCTCTGGTCCTTTCACCCCACACAGGCAACTGAGAACCTCTCGTTTTGTCTCAGGCTCCCTGGCAAGACCAGATGATCACTCCCATGACACAGTGCTGTTTGCTGGCCCTTTAAAAGAGCAGTAAAGTGACCACATGATTTATTAGCTGGTATGTACACACTTGAACATCTGCTTCYACAACCATTCCCATGGCCACACCACACCAGGGCTGACAATCCTTYGGCCTGGGCAAGACTAAAATATGGTTCCAGTGAGATGATGTTCTTCTGGGACTGTTGTGTCAGGTTCTCAAATACAAAGCCTATTTCCTATTTAGTGCTTACTCTAAAGGAAAATATTTTCATACCTAAGATCACTAACATTCTTACCCTCTGAGCATTCCTCAATCAGTCAGATCTGTCTAAAGAAAACACACTTGGCAGAATGTAATGGCATTATCTGTTCTCCTGTGTAAGAAAAATGAGGTCCATGAGAAAAACTTATCCCCAGCATCAGAGCTTACTTACTCCTTCCTTTGCAATCATTGGCAAAGTTGTCCCTGTTCTGAACAGGCTTTATCTCCTGTTTGGCTGACTTATAGTTAAAGATCCATTTCTTTCTAGACTGTACAGCCAGAAAGCAGGGTAGAGAGGATCTGAGGTACTGATTTCGAAGGTGTGCAAAAGCATTTCTCTGTCAGCAATGGAGTAAAATGACACAGTCTTTTTTTGCAGCTCCAGGAAAACTCCAACCTTCAATGGTTTATCCTTGTGTAATAATGTTTCCTGGTCCTTATGCCATGCTGACAGCTGTTTTTTGGCACCCAGCCATTCTACACACCAGGAATGCTCAGTTCTTCCCAATTTGTCCCTTTTACCAATCATTTCATGAGCAACTCCAACTGCCCATCCATCACTGTCCTTGGTAATTACTTCCCAGTAGTGGCACCCASTAGAGAAGCTCTGTGAACACAACACTTGGCTGATGCAGAATCTTTTGGGTGATGGTTCATAACTGGTCAGGTGGCTGGAAACCACCACTCTCCTGTTCTGGGCTGTGAGTGCCAAGCGCTCGTGTACTCTTGTGGGGTCAAAGGTCACATCATCTGCCCCTAGAAGACAAGAAGGGAAATATTCTCACATGCAGGCAACGAGGAAGATGCCACCCCTGCTCCAGAATAGAAATGAAACCCAGTGATCATACAATTAACCTGGGTTAAAGTTCAAGAATCATCAACTAAACACTATCAAGYGTATCCTGGGCATACTGAAACATTTAACAGGCACAACTGTGTAAATACCCATGACAGACTCATATGCACTCCAGTGGGAAAGTCAAAATACCTTGAACCCTAYAAGATGGCTCTTTTTCCTAACCACAAAAAAAAAAAAATTACCTTTTTGTCAATAATAAATGCAGTGGTTGCCTTAATAGAACTTCCAGTCATCTGTTCACTGAGACATTTCTTGCATATTTCATCAGCAAAAACATTTGTTTTCTGTTTTCAGCTACAGCTGTAGTACAGTGTGTTGACTGTAAAAATTGTTCTGTCAAAATAATGTAGAATTCAGGTAACAACTGGGGTTATTACAGCTTAACAGCAAAGATCAGTGAGGTGCAGTAACTGCCTGGACAGAAACTCAGACTGCAGCCAGCACAAGCTACCATACAGCTCACACATCTCCATGAAACAGGTTCTTTATCTTTTTATATCTTACACCTGCAGCCAGGTACAGTGTTACATTATGTGCCAGTAACTGATTCATTCATGGCACCTCCATTGTGTTCCCATGCTTTGGTAAACAGCCACATGTCCTGATGTCTGCAAGGACAGTTTTCCTCAGCAAATCCAATCTCAGAGTCACCTGGATGTTGTGAARAGTCCTGCTGGTTTGGATACTCACACTGAGAAAATTGGCTGGAAATGGTTGGTTCAGGACTTTCAGCTGCAGACTCTGGAGGTGATGAGCAGACACTTGGCTCCTGATATGAGTCTGGAGGTTCCACTAAATACAAAAAAATTGAATGTTAAGGCCTTTTTTTCAAAATGTAAATAGGAAGTATTTATGCTTCTAAAGGAAAACATATCTTAAACAAACCCAGGCACTGGTTGAAATACAAATCAAAGAGTTGCTTTTATTGTATAAATTACCAGGGGATGTGTACACAAATATTTTTACCCAAAATGAACAAAGCTTGTACACTGCTTTGGTCAGAAGGGAGCTGTCAGAAAAGTGAGACGGGTAAAGTAGCTGGATCTTTCAATGCAGATAAACCAGTTCCTGTCTTAAAACTCTTTACAGTGTTCTTAATTTTTTTTCTAAGTGTGTTTCTTGTTTTAATTGCACATGCATTCCATAAGCACAAAGTAATTTTTTACTCTATTTGACAGACCCACTCCCTCYAAGAAAAAGATTTCAGAACAAGGGAAACTCACCTGGTGGGAGTTGCTGAGCATAATTGTCCAAGAGTAAAACTTCCATCTTTCTCTTAAGATCTTCTACAGCTCTTTTGACAACATTAAGCTTCTCATCAAGTGTAATTTTATTAATTGCTGAAGGTGAGCCTTTGCACCTCTGTTCCTCAGGTAAATCACTCTAATAATGATGAAAGGATCAAGGGAAAGGTGTAAACAATAGCAGTTATTTAATTTAGAAAATCAGTCTATAATATAAACCCAGAGTGGAAAAAGAGCAGTGATCTCTCCAAGAATCTCATTCTTTGTATCAAAAGTTTGCTTTATAGGATAGTCAACTGAGCAAACCAATCTGAAATCTTACACAAAATAGGGAMGGATGTTCTTATTAAAGAAGACTATGTTTTCCCTAAGAAAACTGAGAATGGGACTAACTTTTATATATATGCTACAATTTCCATAAATACTTACATGAACACACAAACTTGCTCTTTTTTAAGTTTCTTCTTCTTCTAAAACCCAAACCAAAATTGAATTCCAATGTGGGCACCTGTGCCTGGGTCCTGCAAGTCCAGCTCTGTCTAGTGGCACTRCCACATCCAGTGAGCCCCACTCCAAATTCCTGCTGGCTCACTTGAATCACTGGCACAGTTGTTTTCAACAGGCTCTGCAGACTCTCAAGTGTTTTAACTGCCTCTTTTGAGGGTCCTTGACATGTTTTCCCCATGGAAGTTGTTACAAAATACTTAATAACTGTGAGTTCTTTAACTTGCATACATATGCGTATATACAAATTCCAATAATTTGAAAAGAAAAAGATCACAAAGGATCTCAACTTTGGATTTGACTGAGGACTGGATTTCACCAGTGCAGTTCCCACTTCATTCCAGCTCACCAATATACTTGGAAAAAAAAATCTAGTTCTGAATTGCATCCCCAGCTTGTGCCTCTTTTGGTACTATTTTTTTCCTCTGAATTTCTCACTCCAAACTCTCCCTGCCAACAGCAATGTCTACAGATTAGCATAATTGTCTCTATGAGAATGGTGCAGTGGGGATCTCAAAGGTGCTCTGTACATATTCAGCTATCCCAGACATTGAGCTTGAGAGTTTCGACTCATATTCTGCTACTTCATTTCAACACTTACAGTTTGGGCTTTGATGTCTGTGAGCTGCTGAATAGTCTCTTCAATTTTCTGCTGAGCCGCTTTCTGCTCTTGTTCAATGAACAGCAGTGTGTTTCTCTCCTGTCTTTCAACATATTCCTTCATGCAACAGAAATCTTTAGTAATCTGGCTTTTGATCTGAGATGTATATTCCTGAAAGGCAGAAAATATGGAGTTCATTGTGTGGTTAGGAAAGATGTATGGAATATGAGAATCTACTGCCTCATCCAAGGTGCTCTTTGACTGACCCCTGCAGACCAGAAAAAAATTCAAAGGAATAAAGTACATTTGACACTATCCTGAATTACTTGCAGAGATTTTGGGCATGTTAAGGATCGTGACTATTTTATGGCCAGTGGGCTCTGCTTGGCAATTCCGAAAAATCTATATGCACGCTTTATGATTTGTAATTTGCATCTAAGAGCGCCAGAAATATTCCAGCTACTCTTAGGATAAGCAGAAAAATGCAACAATGCCCAACTTCAGTGGCTTCAGTGTGCCAGCAAAGACAGGGGTCAGTGCATGATGCCATAGAGTCATTCTCATCAGTAAAAACAGAATTGTGACAGAAAAGAAGGAAACAGAAAGGTAAATTCCTGCACTGGGGTGAGACCTGCAGTCAATCACATCTCCAGCCCAGAGCAGTGTAAACAGAAGATAACTGCAGGTGATGAATGTACAATGTGTACCTTTGTTTTATTGAGATCTTTCCTCAACAGGTGGACAGTCTCTGCAGTTATTTYTTGTTGCTTGGAGCTCTCCCATATYKCTTCCTCCTTTAAAGTGACACATTAGACTATTTATGTAACCCTCATAGGAAGCATGACTAGGTTAAGCAGCAGGGTAACAAAAATCCCTACATCACTGACATTAGTTAAGCATGGGACTGATTGAGGAAGTGCCTGGAAGACACAATTCTTAGTARTAGTAGTGATTATTCATTGAATAATCACAATGAAGTCAACACGCAACAGTCACCAATTACATGTTCARCTATAATTGTCAGCTTCAGCTCTTAGCTTAACTGAGAAGATACATATTTGTTAAAATGATGAAGATCAACAGATTTTTCTCATCTCCTCCTCTGGGAGTCGTTTTAGGCACAGACATAGATATGAACCAGTTCCATTTTGTGCCATGAAGCTGGGTGGAGCTGTAGCACTGTCTAACAATATTACATGTCCTTTCAAGAGTCTCCAACGCAAAGCTGATGCAATAAGTAACACCCAGCACAAACATGTCACTTATTACTACTGTACATTAGCTGAAAATGTACAGGTATGAGCTCTTCTAATTCAGCATTGCAGCCTTCAGTGTGTCAGACAGCACCAATGAGCCCCAAACACTCCATGATCAGCCCATCTACTCAATGTGTGACTGTGCTGTGGGACAGAGTGGAATGGAGCCCCAGGACCCACTGGGGATGCTGTGGGGTGGAAACCCGGGCAGTCCCGAGGGTGCCGCTGGGTGCTGTACCAGGGAGTCGCGGGGAGGAGTCCTGGGTGTCGGGGAATGTCACCTCGGGATATCGCCGCGGGATGTCTCCCGGGAAAGGAACCCCGGGCTGTCGGGGTGTGAAACTCGCAGGTGTCGGGGATGGAGCCCCGGGCTGTCGGGGTGTGACACTCGCGGGTGTCGGGGATGGAGCCCCGGGCTGTCAGGGTGTGACACTCGCGGGTGTCGGGGATGGAGCCCCGGGACGTGGCGGGGAGAAGCCCCGGAGTGTCGGGCATGGAGCCCCCGGGCTGTCGGGGTGTGAAACTCGCGGGTGTCGGGCATGGAGCCCCCGGGCTGCCTCCGGCCGTACCTTCTCCCCCGGTCCCCGCCCCGCCGAGCACCAGTCACTGCAGGCAGCAGCTCCATAGGGTTCCGGCTCATCCTGCGTTTCCAACTTTTCCTTGAGCTCCCGCGGGATGAGGCTGAGCAGCGCGGCCAGCTCCCGGTTGGGCCGCAGGTGGCCGAGCTCGAAGGCGCGGCGGCAGAGCGGGCAGGCGGCGCGGGCCCGCCCCGAGCAGTAGCGGAGGATGCAGCCCCGGCAGAAGCTGTGATCGCAGCCCGACAGCCGCACGGGCTCCGCGAACAACTGCAGGCAGCAGGAGCACTGCAGCTCCAGGACGCGCTGGAGCCGCTCGAGATCGATGAGGGCGGCCATGGCCCGGCCGAGCGGAGCAGAGAAGTTTCGGTTTCCCCGAGCGCCTCCTCCGCTGTCGGGAACGCCCCGGGCCGCGCCGGCTCAGCCCCGCTCTGCTCCGCTTCCCTCTGTTCTCCTCGGCTCTTCCTTTCTCACGTGTCTTGCTGGCAGGATTTGGGTTGACAGTGGAAATGGACTGTGACGCAGAGATCTCCTGGGCCTGGCCTTGACTTATAATGACTCTCCAGAAAAGTCCCCGTTATCTGCACAATTTCGTTTCCATCGTTCATTTCCCGATTTTGTAATAGCGAGAGCTGCTGACATGGRCAATGTGCTGAGCCAGCTGGGACAGAAGTGGCACAGCACAGCACCGTGCAGACCCTGAGTGAAGTTCAGGCTGCTGGAGGGACTGAACGCTTCTAAGGTCACCCTGAGCGACTCGGGTCATTTCAAAACAACAATTAACAAATGAAGGCTGACATTGTTCCTCGTACAAGTCAAAAGGTGCTTTCTRTTGATTTCAGGAGCTGCAGATCAGGCTCAACCTGACTTAACAGAATTGCTCAGCCACCATGTGAGCTAGGATGAATCGGTGTGTGTGGGTAGAGAGGCTGCGACACCCGCAAGTTCATGGGAGCTTATCAACACGTAAAACTGCTGAAGATTGCTCAGGGCGGGATGATGAGCTGGCTGAGAAAGGCAAGATGATGATCCAACTCAAACAATKCTTTTGCACTATTGAGGGGGGGCAGGGAAGAATTAGTGTCACTAATTCCTGCAAGTATTGGCACTTCTCATTTCTGCAAAAGAGAACTATTTTGAGTATCGCAAGACTGGCTGGCAATTGTCAGCCAAAGGTGGAAGCCTCWCCAGAAACTTGGTCTGCGAGACTGACTTCCTCTTGCAAACTATCTGGAAAGAAGAATTCAATGTATGAATGACKCACTGCTTGCTAGAACCAGATTTCAGACTTGGTCTAGAGGCACAGGAGCAGTGCTCTGTGTCAGCTAGTGCAAGTCTCCATCACCTMCTGCACACAGTGGTACCTGAGGAGGAGGCACTTCCCCTCCAACACTGAACACCAGTCCTTATTCTTTGTTTATAAGCAAGTTACTGAAGAAAACACTTTTAAAACTTGTTTCTGCCTTTCAGTGTTCAGTCTAACCAAGCTCATTAAGCTTCATCTGCTTTTAGGTGAGACAGATCAGCAGTTGTTCATCCTGTACTCATGGTGTGTTTGCTGGGTCACTGTGTGGGTTTGGAAAAATTGTTTTGGAAAAAATTCATCTTCACATGTTGGATTTGCCACCTCACATAAAAGCTAAACAATAGAGACTGTTGACAGCRAGGAGCTAGGAGCATCTGTGTGAATCCATTAGAGGAGTGATTCCATTACAGTATCCTCCACAAYTTAAACTTGGCTTGCATTTTTTTTTTTATTGTGCCAGAAATGTAGCACTGTAAGAGACATTCACCCCACACTCTTGAAAASAACCCTGTCCCTGAGTGGCCAGAAGCTGCAGCCTGGTGGAATGGAGCTGCCTGGCTGCTCCTCCCTGTGCACATCACAGYTGGGTGATGACTCCGTTCAAGGCGTCTATCCACTCCTTCTGCCTCTTGTCRTTCTCACACATAAACACAAACTCTCTCATTGGCGTGACCAGAGTGATYGCTGGTTTCCTCTTCTTCACCCACACTCCCTGTGGCAAATCACCTCGTACTTCGTATCCCTCACTTCTCCTTCCGATGTAAACCTGGCCCTGTGCAAATGCGTCCTGCAGAGAAGGAAGCAGAAGACAGCCATTAGCCAGTGCACCATGGAGCTCCAGCAGACACTGCTCTGTCCTTTGTCATGGGACAGGAGCTGGGCATGCACAGAGGGCAACTGATGGCATGGACTGGTGACACCAGCAGCGAACACACAAAGGGGTATTTTGCACTCAGAGGCATTTTGTGAAGGAGGAGGCAGGGCCCATCCTTACACACAAAGGGGTATTTTGCACTCAGAGGCATTTTGTGAAGGAGGAGGCAGGGCCCATCCTTACAGAGCTGGCTGGTGGGTGCTCAGAAGGGGCAGGGAGGGACATTCCCATGGCTAAAGCAGGGCTAGGAAGCAGGATACTGGGCTGTCAAGCCCCTGTTACTGGAATATTGCTCATCTTGGCTAAGCTTACAGACACAGTGGCGCTAGGGCTGGAGGAWCGTGGGCATGAACACTACAGGCAATTACTTTTAAAACACTTGGATCTTCCTCACAGCTACTGTGCAGGCCAGAGTTCCCAACCAGCTCAACTTCAGAGACCTCCATTGGCAAGGGAGATGGGCTCTTGAGGCTGGGCCTCCTCCTGTCTGGCACAGCCACTGCAAAAGCTGGATGAGGACAGACCCTTCCTCCCCATCTGCTTCATGAAGGGGCTCTGGAACAGCAGAGAACACTCCTCTTACCAGTGGATTTTTAAARTACATCAGGTTCCTTTCTTGAGAATCCAAGCAGAACCAGCGTACCTTAAAGGCCTCTTTGTGCTGCAAAGAGATGGTAGAAGTTCTTTAAAGACCAAGTCCCAAAGAGTACTTCACTTTATTCAAATCCCAGGACTGTTTAAATGACTTGGAGCTGGAGTTGTTTCCTTCATCCCTGTAACTGGTGAGTGACTACTGAGTGCAGCCCTCAGTTATCTTCTCCCTGGGCTCAAACTACAGATTTACATTCAGTGACAATCCTTTGCACAGGGAAGTGATCAARTTAACAGGATTAAGAGAGTTGCATGAAATGGAAAGCACTGCAGAGAATGATCCCTGAGCCAGTGGTGATAGTGAGGAGAGTGTGTCATGAATTTCAACAATCTGGCTGGGGGTTGTCCCTAGAATTTCGGGTGTACAATACTAATTTTTTTAAAAGTCCTAATTCCATCAACTACACTTATCTGACCATTCCTGAGTTATTCAGTGCCCCATGATAAACTGAGAAGGCCTTCTCAGTTTAAGCAGAATTTAGGCCTCAGGAGAAAAACACAAAGTCTTTCAGGCTCTGTGCAAGTACCTGCAGAAGAGGTACTGGAGCCATGGCACAAGCTGGGCCAAACCCCAGCATATTCAATATTAGCATTGCACCACTGAACTTCACAATGGGACTTGGCTCACGGTTCACTCAGAGGAGAGCAAGGCAAGAAGGAGCTGTGTTCAAACAAGACCTCAGATCTTTATCTCCTCCTTCAGCRGTGCCCAAAAGCACGCTCTCCTGTTCCAAGAATACTGGCTCAAACACTTCCCACAATGAAGCAAACCAAGCTATTGGCTTCACTGCAGAGAAATTTCCTCAAATGACACTTTGCTGCTTTAAGTAGGTGTGACTTAAGTGCCACTGACTCTAAGTGAAACAGAGAAGTAGGGGGGTGAGCATGTCATGTTCTGCTCTGGCAGGAGCTGCAATTAGCAGATACAGAAATCCATGTGGTGTTGTGTAACAGCACTTTGCATGTCTATTGACAGCTAATCCATCTTGCTCACTCTTTAAGGATTCTTCTTCCTGATCTTAWTTTCCACACAAAATAAAACATGACCCCCAAAGAGTGTGACAGGRTTGAATACAATGTCTTTTATCAGCCCAGGAAGCAGAAAGCCACCRAGCAAATCTTCTACAAGTCAGCATAACTGAACTACCAAATATTCTTTATCTGGAATGATCCTGTTCATGTAATGGCCAGTATGCACTTACTTTTGGTCCTGTTTTCTCCATATATCCTTCTTTGACAAAGTTTCTTGTGATCTTGGGTATGAGCTAGGRGAATACAAATACAAAAAGGTTTGTKTCTGTCCCAAGTGAAACCCAGACAGGCTGTCTCATTCAAGACTGCATTTCTGTTCTGTTTTTGTCAAACTTAAATCACCATCAGTTGTAGCTTTTGGTGTCTTGGGGTTTTTTTTGGTTGCTCAGTAAAGAGAAGTCTGAAGTAAGAAGGAACACAACATTTTTGACAGATTACACTTTGTAAGGATCACATGGAGACTTTCAGGCCTTAAATGGCAACTGAATTCAATGTGGCCTTCTCTTCTGTCCATTCCCTGGACCCAAGTGATGCTTTTTGAGCACTGACTGTGTCAGAAGTAAGGAAATGTTTTCCCATGTTATATTTGCCTAGACTGCTTCAAGCCCTGTTCAGTTCTYACCTCAGGTTCAGGGACACTTGGGAAGGTTGTTCTGAGATAATGGTAACGTGCTGCTCGGATGGCATTGAACCAATCAACAATCTCCTGTGGCAAATAGCAAACACAAAGACAAGATTAACAAGGAGAGTAAGAGCACTGCTTCTCCAAAATGCCTTTCTCCTTCCTTCTGACCTCTCTGCAAAGAGCTGCCTTCTCACCAAGGGGCAGAGAGAGTCAGTAATTTGTCCCAAACACCTGAAAAATACTGACCCTTGAAAATTTAAGAATGCCCCTGCTGGGAGATCTTAGACATTCTCAGCATGGACAATTGCCCAAGTCTGTGTACACAGGCTTTTTCAGTTGATTCAGTCATGGGTTGTTTAAAAACCCCTGTATCTGGAAASACATGAGAACTCTGTCGAAGGAAGAAACAGAAATCTAACAGTATCTGTAGAGATACTTCTTTAAATTATCATTATTGGCTTGGAAATAACATAGAACAGTATACTCTATGTGTGTAAAGAATATAACAATGAAATMGTGTAAAACCATGAGGMAGTTAYCTTACAGAGATTTRYATCCATGCAMCACTTAAAACTATTCAGAGRGTGAGGTTGAATRTATGCCCCAACAGAAAAGGAGGAARATACTACAGTTAGGAGTATCAAATTCTGCAGCTTCCTATATTCTACAAGTCTTAGTGATGCCAAATAAAACCAAATCTTGCAGACACAGTAATTCTTCCAAAATACAGATCCAACATCTTAGCATGATATTTACCTTTCCACTTTCATGATAGACAAAAAGGTTCCTTGTTTGACCATCTGTGATGTATGTGATCTGCAGCCCATGAATGTGTCCTATTTTCTCTACCTGGAACATTGCATTCAGAGTCTCAACGCTGATAACAGTTTTTTGACATTTGGACTGTGAAATGAAAAGCATCACTGTATTAAAGTGCTCTCAGGGAATGTAATGCAGGATAGATCAGCTGTATGAGACCTAGATCTCTACTGAAGAAGAAGCAGACATCCTAAAATATCTGAAACAGCCTTAATTATGTGCAACATAAAACCACTTAGATTCCTTGACAAATGCTGGGTCAAACTACTGGAGAGGGCTGGGTCTGCACTGCAAGGGGTGGGTCTATCTCCAGCCCTGTAGTTAGAGATCAATTAGCTACAGTGTCTCACAGAAAAGAGACAGGTTGAGGATGCTGCTGCASGAGCTGATGGGAGGATATTTTGGTAATGAAAGAGGTGACAGCTGCTAACAGATCTGTTCTTTGTCTTGCTGTTCAACTGCCAGTATCCCTGTCCTTTGTTCACTAAGCAAAAGGAGGCTGAAGGGTTGGGATAAGGGATGAGGAAAAGAGCTAAATCCAAAATTGCCCAATATACCACATATGTTAATGGAGAGTGGACTTCTCTAAGCACAGGCTGGCTGCAAAACTACAGACAAAGCTGCTTATGCTGGGTTTTGCCCACGAAGAGCAGGGTCTAAGGGTGGGTGTTGACCTGCTGGTGGCCAGCTCTGGCTGAGGAACTCACTTTGCTGTAGTATTTCATCACCCCTTCCTTCGCTGACAGGAGAAATTGCCTCTTCTGGAACTGTCTGCGTCCCTTGCCAAGCTTCCAGAGGCATCCTTCACGGCTGCCTGCAGATCAGACCAAARGAGTGTCACAGAAGGGTGGCACAAGAGCAGGACTGTTCAGCTAAGGGTCATGTGGCAGTTTCAAGTCTCTTCTCCCTCTGAGAATTTTCACCTCACATGAAAAATCAGTGGAGAACTAGAGAATTGTAAGATCTGAATACACCTTTGCACTCGGGTAAGTGCCTTTCTTTAGGARTTTCCTCTCAAAACTAGACTCAAAGCAGTGACTGCACAGCCAGCACTCAAATGTGAAAAGCCAATCTTAAAGATGMAAACAGAACCTTGTGCTGTTGGCCTTGAGGCTGAGACCTTCTCCCTGACAATGCCTTTACCTGCAGAACAAGGATCTTGGCAGTCTCGGGTGGCAAGAAATTCCTCACGCTCATATTTAGCTCTAATCCATTGCTGCTTTAAAACCCTGAAAAAAGAAAACACGGATAAAGGAGATCTGCCWCTACTCCAGTTKCACCAGACAGCCAGAGAGATGTGTAAGGGAAGCAAGGAGATGTAAAGATCTGAGCAATGAATTTACCAACAACTTACAAGCAGTCACAGGCCCGGGGGATGTAATAGTAGGGAGGGACCTTTGCCTCATATTTAGCTTTGGCCCAGAGATTCCCGTGATTCTTCATAAACTGAAATAMAAAATTAATTACAGTTAGGTGTGCCACTACAAATCAACACCGTGTCACGAATATAAAATGAGACTTGCATCAGAAGGAGCACTGCACTTTTTGCCGAGTGTCATCATAACTCTCAGTGAGTCTTTACATAAATTTATAAATTCTCTTTGGCATTATAGTTTGCTATTTTTAGGTGGTGCACCTTTTTCAGTATTTACATTTACTAAGTATTTACAGTATTTCTGGACCATGTGTGAAGGAGCACAAAACTGTGGTTGCTGATGAAAAGAATAGAAGAAAATAAGAAAAAATAAGAAGAAAATTTGTTTATGATCTCCCTATTCCTTCACCTCCTCCCAGATATTAACTGTGATTGTATTATTAACACAATTCAACTGAACAATGAGAGATTCAATATTTAAGAAGACTAYGTTGCTTTCTGAACTGAACAGACTACCTGGAAATTTCTATGGGCTTCTAAACCACAGTGAGAAGYTACTGTGTGTATAAAAATACACACCACAGACTGTTAGGAGCATGGTCACCTATCAGTGTAATTTGATTGAGCAGGTCATAAAAACCCCTTAAAACTAGCCATGGAATTAACTTGGCCCTGCGAAGCTCGACTGCTCTGTCCATGGTGGATGGCACAGGAATTATATGGCAGAGGAGGTTATGAAATGTGGAGAGTTACTGCTTTTTCCTCTRTACCTCTATTAAACTGCTCTCCCAGAAGTCAAGCCGAAGGGATTTGACTTTGCTGATTCCAGGAAGATTGCGATGAATTCCAGAGCAATTCAAACAAATGAATATTCCAAGTTTGTAAGAAGCCCACTCTGGATCTAGATAAAAACACAAAGACTCAGAACTAATACACAGGAAAAGGCACAGCCACTGGCAAGGGTGAAAAATCRCATCTGATGCACAGCCCAGGCTTCACACCTAATAAATACACCAAATCCCAACCCRTTTTCATGGTTGTCACTTCACTGCATTCAGGGGAACAATACCTGCTTCCCCCAGTGAACAAGGTGGCTCCTGAATTTGTATATTCTTTTACTTACTACTTGCTTTAAAATTAACGTGTCTGTGCAGGCAGGTGAGTGGTGATGGAAAAGCTCAGCTAATTATTAGTTCTGCATGAAAAGCTGCCACTGCTGAATTAACAATGGAAGGAGGGTGTGGACAGTGCTACTGAGAGTACAGCAGAGTACAGCTACCTACAGCGAGGACTCTGTCCTCTGTCTGTGAAGGTTCCTGCTCTTGCTGCTGCTGCATCCCCTGAAGCAGCTTTGACAGGTGCATCCATATGGGCACCGAGAGCACTGGCAAGACCATTTCCTTGGATTGCGCCACAGTCTACTTCTCYCTTATCACACTAAACAGAAGCTCCTCGTCGCCTTCTGCCCGCTGCTGCTGGCTCCCGGCCGACCCAGCGATCGGGCACAGGCGCCAGCCCGGCGCGGGGWCCCAGCGGCTCCTCCGCGCCTTTCTCTGCCCCAACTCCTGCGCAGARACATCCCCCGAGCTGGAAATCCACCCCACGCACCCTCCTCCTCCTCCTGCAGCCTCATGCCCTGTCCACAAACGACCCCCGGGCAGCTCCTGGTGCTGAGGCCGTTTCCTGCCCCGCTGCGGTTCSCTGGCCCCGCGGGTCTCCCCGAGAGCCGTGTCCCGGAGCCGGCAGCCCCGCGGGTCCCTCCCGCTGCCGCCCTGCGGGACACGGAGCGAGAGGCGCAGCCGGCCCCGCTCGCAGGGATGGAGCGGACACAGCCGCGAACCGGGACGGCACCACAGCCCGAGGGGACGGCCAGCCCCTCGTCACCGCCGCTGCCCGCTCGGAAGCGGCCCGGGGGCCGAGGGGCACTGCCCGGCGGAGCTCCCTTACCTGGCTCCCCGCAGTCGGCGCAGCGATCGTTACCGGTCCCGGCCGCCCTCTGCAGCTCCAGCAGCAGCGCCTTGTTGCGGTCGTGGTCCATGGCCCCGGTGCCCGGCGCGCAGCCCGCGGGASGCTCGGCCCCGCCGGGAAATGAGGAACCGGAGCGGTCCCGGCGCCCGGGGCACCCCGTCCCCTCCCGCGCCCCCGGGCCGGGCGGGCGCCGCGGGGCCGCCGCCTACAGGCGCTTCGGGAGCTGCTCTCCCCCTGCCCGGCCCGGCCCGCGCCCCGCGGACACGCGCCCACCGTCCCCGTCCCGTCCCTGTCCCCGAGAGCCTTCCCGCGACGAGTGGGGACTGCCTGCGCTCAGAGTTCTTTACTAAGGGACCTGTGCCCAGGAGGGCTCGTCCGCGCTCCTCCAGGTTTGTCTCAACCCCACTTCTCCAACAAAAAAAATTTCCAACGTTTGCGGGACAACCGAACAGCAGCTGTGCCTCAGACATCGGCCAAAGCACCGGCACAGGCGGGGCAGGTGAGTCTCCTGCTCTCCCCAGCGCAGCTCTGCCCCGCTGCCAGTGCTCAGCACARCCTCGGAGGGAGCTCAGTGACACCAAGTGGTGCCAGAGTCAACACAGGGACAATGCAGCATTTTAACCCTACTGAAAATGTTCCCGTTCCAGCRTAAAGCAAATGCCAAATAGTCTGTGACCTAATATTCAGTTTATATAAGACAAGAAAAAAGACAAAAAGAAAAACTTGAGGAAAAGAATTTCAAGCAGGTTAATTAATTCAGAAAAAGATAAGAAGGTATTCAAATATTTTTCTGGTTTCATATTAAATTTAATTTGCATTGCTAATTTGCATTACTATGGTGCAGTRTAATACACAATGCTTTTTACTAAGTTTATCTACAATCTTGTAAAAATACTAATTTTCTTGATGATTAAATGCTATTATCAGCTATTAAATACTATTATCAGCTCCAAAGACTGAAACCTTTTTTTCCATCTTCTAGGTACTAAATAGTATTGTAMCTCTTATTTATTTGTAAGTATTGTAAAGTTATGAAATAAACAGCAGCGAAATATCTGAAAAGTTGTTCAACTACCTACGTAAAAATGTCTCTTCAGCACTTACTCTCTGGGAATTGTTGTAAAATGGAAGGTAACCCAGGTAGCCTTCTGGCACCAAAAGCTCTTTTGCTAGCTAAATTTTTGTAGTGTCCTTAAAACTCCTGTAGAAGARAAGGAAGAATTTGTATGATGTTTGCAAATTTATGTATTTATTTACAAAGCCTTGAAATAGTCTTGAAGGGATCCTTCTCTCCTCCCAATTCTACTCCGCAGTAGCACTAACACAGCCTAAGCCTTTGGCTCATTCTTRCAACCATAACTGCTTTTTTCTATATTATCCATGGGATGGTAGAATAATGTCACCCTCATTTTCTGGAAAGAAATATTGGAACAAGGGTAAAAAGAAAGAAAAGCTTTAAACTTGGTTGAGATGTCAGCAAGAATAAGGTTGTTGGTTTTGTTTTACAGTTGCTATACTAATAACTGCTGTTTAAATGGGGGAGAGTCATTGTGGAACTCCAGGGCTGTTTTTACTTCTGGTTTCAAGACACAGAAGTTACCTTGAGGGGCAGTRAAGGACTAATCAGGGCCCAAACTATTGCAGGAAAATATTTTGAATCAAAGGCAGGCAAATTCCACAGTCCTGGAATGGAACTTGTGAAGCATTTCCTTMTAAGCAGAGTTAATCAAAACCAGCCCCAGGTCTCTTTTCCCCAGGCCCATCCCTCCAAATAAACTTGCTTTACTTTTCATACAAAAGATGCTCATACCTGATGTATAAAAATCCAAAGGTGCTAATTTATCAGAATTCAAACAAATCATCACATGCAGATGATCTTTCATTCACAGTAGCTTGAGGTGATTTCATGTGGTAAATGTCTGATGAAGAAGTGAAATACTTGAATTCCACCTTACCTTTAGGACACCACAGGAGATTCTGTAAACAAGTTAAGGCAGTTATTAAAACCAGAGAGCTGACTTCAAAAGAAAGTAAATTGTCTCTCACTACTTTCTAATATGGGTCTTTCAAATAAGCCATGAATTTCCTAAAATACTACTTTATAGGACTTGTTTCTAATTTATGTAGGTCCTCACTGTAATCTAGTTAGACTGACAGTGCCTTTATAAAGCAGTGAACAAATACACTTTTACTTTATCATTAAAAAAATTAAAATGTGTATTTATTTATTTTTACAAAAACGTACAGGAGAAACATAGTTGATACAAAGAATCAATCCATTATGATTTTAACAGCCACCACTTTAAGTTTTGATARTTCTGGACTATGGAAAGAGTACACTATAAAGATGATCTACAGTGCAGAAGCTTGTAATAATTTACTGTTCCATAAATATTTCTTATTTMTGAACATCTTTTAAGACACAAAAAACGTAAGGTGAGAATAGAATGTACTGGCAAATGGCCTTTCTTATTATTAGAGACTCTGAGGTTAGTGGAGCACCACTGCATGGCAGCAGTCTGACTCAGTTTAAGGAACAGGAACAGTCCAACTGCAATATAAAGGTAGAAAAGTACATGATTGAACTAATTTCACTTTTAAAACCCTTTAAAAATAAGTTTCAGAAGTCTTACTTTTCATGCAATAAAAACATTCAGATTGTAGCAAAGTCTCATCAATTTATTGTCGTATAAAAATGGATTCAATCACAAATAATCAGGCTGAAGTCTTGTCAAATACAAAAAGAAGCTTAAAAATAAAACACAATATACAAGACTAGAAGTAGTTAAATATTCCTGAACCCAAAGTAACACTGGGATAATTGTTATTTACAAAATCTTGTCTAAATCTCTTGAGACCATGTTGAGCTACAGTAATAATTTCTCTACCTTTTCAGGAGATTAACATGCAGATCTGACAGCTGTAAATAATGAAAGGAATGTATACAGATATATGTACATTGAGGCATAGTGCTTTGGAAGGACTTTGCTCCCTGTGGATATTGTGAAGAGTTTTAGTCTTTTAGACTTTGGAAGACTTGTATCCTCTCTGTGCCCCCTCCCACCTCGAGTTATTTATCATTTTACTGCAAATTCAGAAAACAATCTATTTGAACAAAACAGTCTCCTCAGAAAAAAGCAACTTTGCTGTGGCAGTTGTGACAGGTGGTTGTCACAAAAGGATTTYTTCCCATGTGATCCCACAAACTGGAGAGAGAGCAAGAAGTCTCCACTGAATACTTTGTGCATTCAAYATTATAAATGCACTTATTGGACAAGCACCAAACAAACCCACATTTCAGCTGTGGAGAGCAGTATAATGACAATAGATATATACATTATTTTAAATATTATAAAAATTTAATATACAAATAGCTCTGAATATACAATAATGTGGTAATTAAAAAAAAATAAAATAACCAAACTATGGTGAGAATACCACCATTAGGCACAAAGTATTTCTGGTGTTGGCAATTTTAAGGGAAGTCCAAAGACAGACGATTTAGCATTTGTCTGGGTATTTCRAGATGAATCCCTTCAAGATAATGCAAGAACCTATTAAAAAAGAAAAAAAAAAGTAAAAATCACTGTTAAGGGAACAAAGTTATTTCCAAATATAAGGCAACAGTTTTATTCATTTGAGAGACAAATGTCCAACTTCCTTTTCTAGAGTTATTTGACAAAGKATTTTATTAAAATCCTTAACTACCTTCTATAATGAAATGTGGCAAGATTTAGGAAAACCCAAACTTACCTTCTTTTAGTTTTCCCTTGTTCTTTAAGCTTCTCAGACCTACAGATACTGCGGAGAATGGGGAGGTATTCGAGGGTGCTGGCTTGCTTATTGCCCAGGTTTAAAGGACTTCTGGAAAACACAGTTTTGATGACAGCCAGCCTCTTCTGTGCTTTTCTGTGAGTGCTAAAACAGAGAATGAAGCTTTATTGTTCCTTATTCAAGAATGCACAGTGATGATTTWATTTCTTTAGGATCAAAGACACTGGTTTAAAACTCCATTAAATTGATGTCCAAATCTACATCCTAATGGATCAAATGTCTGCAAYTTCTGATTGTCTGCTGCTTACACAGCATCACAAAGCTGCATTCAGACAGGAACACGAGGGCCCACAGTTTGTTTGGCCAATGCTCTTCTCTTAATCAGGAGTTTAATTTGGGGAGCTCTTCGATCTGCTTAAGGATGAAAGGTTCAGTACAACACAACCAAAAGCATCTGAGGTCTTCAAAAATCAAAAGCATCATGCAATTGGTATTTGCCAGAGTATCAGAATCAGGTCCAATATGTAACCCATGGTGTGAACCTGGTCCAGGAGAGATGGTCAGATCCATCCCTGCACTGCTCCTCTGGGTACTGACTTACAGGAAAAAGGCTCTAACCTATTGTCCTGTTCAGGCACCTGAATAGGCTTTAACTGCCCATGGTCCCAATTTTACCTTTAATGATTTAATTATGTTAAAAACAATGTCTCAGCAGCAATGTATTCTTTGCTCTTTTACAATCGCTTAAYGGTTATTCTTTGTTAGCAAAAGTTACTATAAAGAATTTACTTTGAGTTTTGTTAGGTCTTCATCAAGCAACACCTATCAACCTCAGTGTGAGCAGGCACTGGATGACAAATTTGCATGCCTAGTACTTGCAGAAATCATTTTAGACCATCTGTCTRTGTTAAAAAGCCATTCTTTAAGGGTTTTGTGATTCTTTTGGGGATGGTGGTGGTGTTTGTACGTTTTTAAAGTAACGAGACTAAGGCCACCATTCCTTAACACTTTCATGTTTAAGCATGAAAAATCACATTTTGCAGATTGCCAAGAAGTTAATTTAGGCTTATAAAAGCACACTGAACAATATATTGCAGTGTTTTGAGGCACACTGATAACAGTCATACTGGTATGAATGKGTATACATCAAATCTGAAAGTCCTACACCCTGTGAAATGCTCTTCTTGACAAATAACTGCATTACACTCCAGAAATATTAACAGTCTTACCTTGAATCAGCTGAATGACTGAAGGATATACAATTCCTGGTGTTTGAGAAAGGCAAAGTAAGTCCCTTCAGCTGATCAGTTTCAGGTATTTTACTGGTACTCAAGAAAGGTTCCAAGTTCTGTGAAATATTAACTGAACTTTTGGTGAAGCTGAGTGCTTCAATTGCTGCCTTTATTTCACTACAGC